CACACACACACACACACACACACACACACACACACACACACACACACACACACACACAACACACATACGTGTAGCAGTGAATATTTCGACGTTGCAACGGAAGATTCGGACCCCTCTACATCTGCAAATAGTTCGCAACTCCGGACTTCTCAGAGGTGAGCACTCCCCCCCAACAGTGGCCCCTACCCTGTGGAACCTTAAAAAAAAAAAAAAGAAAAAAAAAAGGGTCCCTACCAACCCGGACGGTGCGGGGAAGTCACCGCTCCAGTCCCGGTCCGAACCGTCCCGGACGGAAGGGCACCGGACCGCACCCCGTCTGGCCCCGTCTGGTCCAGTCCGGTCCAGTCCGGCTCTGTCCGGTCCGGGGGGAGGGTGCCAGACCTGGCAAACCGGATGCTCGTCCGGTCCGTCCGCTTGCAAGTATGCTTTCAAGTGGTGTTGAACGAGGCTCATTGAGCTCAAAGACAATTTTGAGTAGCTCTTGTTCCGAACGGGATATTCTGACAGCTGAGCGGCGATGAGAGGAGTTACTTAGCAGGCATGCTCCAGAGCGACTTAGTGGACATAGTTAGATCACAATGAACAGGGTCTCTCTGGACAGAGTTAGATCACAATGAACAGGGGGCGAGCTGCAGTAAAAGAGAGAAAAAAGAAGTGTCTGGGCCGCCGGGATGAATGGAAACGAGCTGGTGGCCTCTGTGAGCATGGCAAAAGACCAGGGTGCTGCTCCTGTGAAAATGTATCTGAATGGTTTCTCTCAGTGCTGGTCCCCGGGTGGCGTGGCTGGGGGAAGGTTGCCTGGGCACCCAGCTGGGCGGGCGCCATGCAGGGTCCCCGGAAGTTCCAGCGCGCATAATATAAAAAAAGGGATATAAAAAATTTCCGGGGAAAAAACATGGTGTAAAATTACAATACAAACAGCTTTTGGCTGAAGTTCCCCTTGAAATTCCTTACCAATTTCAAGTTGAAACTAAAAGAGAAAACTTGAGTTAAGTAAGATATGCCCCTTTGGAAGTTTGGACCCTTTCAGTCACGGTTGTTACATGCCCAGTTGGGCGATGTACATAATAACCGAGGATCCGCAATGTGATGAAAAGGAGTGAATGGCCAATACAGTGCTAGTGAAATCTCAACAAGCAGTGTGCATCCTGATACATAAAACAATGGTGTTTTATAGCGCAGTGGAAGATTTAGATACAAGTCGTGACCTGACTGGGACTGACCTCTTTCACATAGTATAAGATAGGGAAGCAGAAGGCTAGAATGCTGATGACGAGCCCAATCAATGTCTCAATGCAGACTAAACATGCATCATTCTCACGACAAGGTGTGAAGGGGCCTGACGCTATACACAGGAAGAGGCGCCAGGTCCAGACATGCACAGACGAAGAGGAGGGGATCAGACAAAGAGGAGGGGATCAGACAAAGAGGAGGGGAGAGATGGGAAAGTCGTCAACACCAAGTCTCGTTACAAGTCCCAAATAATCCCTCGTCAAAATGTCTGAAGTCCAATGTCGAGTCTGGATCCAAATGTCACCAAGCTCTCTCTCTCTCTCTCATAGTCTGCTGATGCAGTGAAGTCAGATGATGAGAGGAAGAGAGGGAGATGGTGGACTGAGAAGAGGAAGAAGAAGAACTCTCTCTCTCTCATGTGCCAGGTACTAACCTGGGAAGGTGGCGCTGTGCTGCAGGTTCCTTGAAGACGAAGCTGGAGCGCTGGCGCTGCAGGTAAGTCCCTCTGGCCTCCGCCCAATCTCTCTCTCTATAGTACAACACTAGCTATGGCGCATAGTGCTGAAGACTACAGCTAACGCTACTAGCGCCCAGCGCTGATTACTACTGCTAACGCTACTGCTACTCCTGCAGCGCTCCTCCAGAGTGCTGCTGCCGAATCCCGAAGACTACCTCCTGCCTCCTGAACTGCATGTGAAGTGCCTGGGAAGTACCTAGGAACTACCTGCCGCCTGCAGGCCGGGCCAGTCCTTTATAGTGCTGGCCTGTCCAGGATGCTGCTCTTGCCAATGCCAAAATGTGCTAGACCTTGGGGTTGAAGCTCAAACGAAGGTTGTCTTGAAAAATAGGCCAAAAATGGCCTGAGCTAAAACCCTGGTTTGGTGCCCGAGTTTCGGGGCAGGCCGAACTCATGAGGGCCTGAAAATGGCCCTCAGTTTCAGGCTGAAAAGACTCAGGGCCGGAAAGGCCCTGATTTAGGCTGAAACGACACAGGGCCTGTAGGCCCTGGTTTTCAGGCTTCCAGGCTGAAACGACATGGGGCCTATAGGCCCTTGTTTCAGGCTTTCAGGCTGAAACGATATGGGGCCTATAGGCCCTTGTTTTCAGGCTTTTGGCCTGAAAACGTCACGGGCCTGAAAGTGGCCCGTGCAGCCTGTTGCAGGCGCAGCATGTAACACCCCCCCCCCTCCTTATGAAGTCAAGCCGGGGCGAGGGCGAAGCTGACGATCTGAAGGTGGAACGTGGATGTGGGTGCGATGTGGAGCTGAAGATACCGGCTTGCCTTGCATCTTGCGTTCGTAGCGTGCGAGAACATCTGGAGCTGTTGCTTGGAGTTCCGCACGGGTTAACCAACGGTCAGCTCGGTGACTGCAGTACGCAAATTGTACCCAGTACTCGGTTGGCCTGTTGCCGTAGCGTCGCTGGGAGATGATGTTGCAGACCTCTTGAAAACCGTCCATAGAGGGTGGGTCTTGCGATCGTCGTCCGGGAAAATCGTCATGTTCCATTGGTGTGTAGAGAGCCAGCTTGGAGCGGGTAGACGGGCAAGTGGGCAGGCACCTGAATGGTAAAGGAAGGTCCTCTGGGTGCATCCCCGGCGGGTGCCACGATCGGCCAAGGCCCCATCCATTTCGGAAGGAGCTTGCGGGAGATATCTTGTTCAAGGCTGAATTCCGCGGCGGAAACCCAAACGAGATCGCCGACGCGGAATGGGCAAGGAAGACGCTGGCGATTGGCCTGTTGGCTCATGCATTTCTGCGTCTTGGCCATCTGGTCGCGTGCCTTGACAAGTAGCTCTTGCATCCGTTGCAAGAAAAGAAGATGGTCATCGCTCTCGGCCGTTTGTGGAATGATTGTGTCCAACGGAGAAGTGACCGGCGAGCCGTGCTCGAACTCAAAGGGCGACATCCCGATAGCCGGGTGGATGGACGAGTTGTATGCCAATTCGACATCCGACAGCCGCTCAACCCAATCCTTTTGGTCGGGACGGATGAGAGTGCGAAGGAGAACCTGTGCGGTCTGATGCGCCCTCTCCGTTTGGCCATTGGTTTGGGGGTGGCGGGCCGAACTTGGCTTGAGAGATGAACCCCATCGTTTGATGAGCGTCAACAAAAAATCGGACATGAACCGAGTGTCGCGGTCGCAGACGATTTCCTTGGGGTAACCCTTGGCTCGAATTCAACCGGCGTAAAAAACCTCGGCTAACTCCGGTGCCTTGGCATGATAGCGGCAAGGCAAAAACATGGCGAACTTGGTGAGTCGGTCGACTACCGTGAGAATCTCATCCACTCCGGTCTTGTGCTTGGGGAATGGCCGATAATGTCCATGGCAATCGCTTCCCTTCGCCGCAAGGGGACCGGTAACGGTCGCAACTCGCCGTACGGACGATGATTGCGGGATTTGCAGCGTCGGCAAACCTCGCATGACTTGCAATAGCGTGTGACGTCGTCGAGAAGACCGGGCTACCAAAAACGCTCGAGGAGTCGGCCAATCGTACGATTGAGTGTTCGGTGGCGGGAGTGTCGTGGAACTCGCCAAGAAGCCGTGTGCGCAAGTGTAAATCTCGTGGCACACAAAGAAGATCCTTCCCTCGCGAGTGGACGAGCAAGTACCCCTCTTGGATCCGATAATTCGATGACCCCGGATTAGGAGAGGAGCAATTTGCTTACTCGTCGCAAAACTCGGGGTCGACTTGGTAGCCGCGGATGAAGCTGTCCCGCAAGTCGTCGTTAATCTCAAAAGTTGAGTAGACTGCGGTACAATGGTCCGGACGCCGAGAAAGAGCATCCGCAAGACGGTTTGACTTGCCCGAAATGTGGTCGGGGAAAAAGTCAAATTGGTCGATGAAGGCCACCCAACGGGCAATGGTGCTATTGACCATGTCTTGGGTCTTGTAGAAGACCAATGGATTGTTATCCGTTACCCATCGGAACTGCCGTCGACCAAGAAGAAAATGCCGCCAACGCTTGAGCGCGTGTACGAAGGCCAATAATTCCTTTTTTCGTGCATCGTCAATCGAGTGCACGATGGGCACTTTCTCGCTAAAGTACTCGATCGGGTGCCAGTCCACACCGTCATGTTGCTCGAGGACGGCACCAATGCCATAGCCGGACGCATTGGTAGTCACACGTGTCGGCAAAAGCGGATCGTAATTGCGCAACACCTTTGCGGATAGCAATGCGGCTTTGAGAGCCAAAAAGGAAGTCCGTGCATTGTCGTCGAAGTCGAATGGCCGGTCCTTGCATTGAAGCTTGGATAAAGAAGCCGCGATCTTCGAGTATCCCTTGATGAAGCGTTGATAGTAGCCGGCTAAGCCAAGGAAGGAACGGGCATTTGTGACGGTCTTTGGCTCCGTCCACTCTTGGATGGCTTGAATCTTGTCCGACAACGGACTGATCCCCTCCGGTGTGACAAAATGTCCCAAGTATTCCAGCTCTTGCCGGACAAATTCGCACTTGTCGTGGTTGGCTTTGTACTTAGCGCGGCGGAGCATCTCCAACGCTCGTCGAAGGTGCTCAAGATGATCCTCCAATGTCCGGCTATAGACGAGAATGTCGTCTAAGTAGACTAATACGAACCGGTCCAACATCGCACGAAACTCGTTGGTCATTGCTGCTTGAAAGGTCGCCGGGGCATTGGTGAGGCCAAAAGGCATAACGATCCACTCAAAATGCCCGTACCGTGTCTTGAACGCGGATTTGTAGCAATCTTGCGAGCGTATCGAGATTTGATGGTAGCCCGACTTCAAGTCCAACTTCGAGAAGAATTTTGCGCCGCCCAAATGCTTGAGAAGGTCGTCAATCCGCGTAAGAGGTCCCGCATTCTTGACGGTTTGTGCGTTGAGCTTGCGGTAGTCAATGCACAAGCGAAGATCCTTGTTCTTCCTCCGTACGAAGAGAACTGGCGCACCGTATGGTGAGCTAGTAGGGCTGATCTAGCCCTTGTCCAACAGATCATTGAGTTGCGCGTGGAGAACCGCAAGCTCTTCCTCGCTCATGTGATAGATGCATCCTGTCGGTGGCACGTCACCGGCCTCAAGAATGATCTAGTGGGAGATCGGCCGATCTGGTACCACACCGGTAGGAGACTCGAAGATGTCGGTGAACTCGTCGAGCAGCCGCACCACTCCGGGGTCCGAAGGCAAGTCCGTAGGTGAAGATTCGGTCGTCGCGGCGGCTCGTAGAAAACATAGGCCTATCTCGTCGGTCCGCTCGTAAGGGCAAGTGGCCCGAAAAGACTTGGCCGTTACAACTTGGCACCAGATCGAGGAGTGTGGAAGAGGAATGGTAGACGGTACTTCGGCGCAGAAGGCGTCGCGAACGGTAAGTGCCCGCTGATGGAAGTTAACCGTAAGCTCATGCCACAGACTATCTGGTCTCATGTGTATGATGCTGTTTGATTTCTGGAGTTCGCTATTGCTCATCTTCCTTGCATTAATATGAGTTAGTAAATTATTATCTGCCCAGGCATGAGAGAGTCGATAGTGATACCCGGCCTTGGAGAATGTTAAAGGTCCAGTACATTTGAGTGGCCTTTCAATGTGGTGGAGTCACACTGCGCACCAAGCAATGCCAAACTGCCGGCGGTGCACTTTTTTTTTTTTTTTCTGTGGTGCCGCCAGTCATTGTGGTCATGTGGCCCTGAACCTCCGAACTTTTCAGAGCAACTCTTTTTCGATTCTCAAGCTGCCTGGGACGATGTACTGGCGGTTTAAAGGGTGAAAAAGAAATTCCCTTTTTCTCTTTTTTCTTTCCTCAACCACCAGTACATTCGAGGCCCTTTTTGCCGAGGCGGATTGCCCCTGTGCACCAAGAGTTGCCGAAAAGCCAGTGCGCCGCTTTTTTTTTTTTTTTTTTTTTTGCTCGTGCCGGACCGTCGTCGTTCGACTTTCATTGAGCCACCGAAGTTTTCCGAATGAGCTGATCTCCTATCTAGGGGCGCCCTGGTGAGGCCGTGTAATTGATTCAGGTCCTGCAACACCTGGCTACTTGTCCGTTCTGGGGATCTTCGGTCTGGTTCCTTTTCCTCCGGCAAGTTAAAACATATACAATGTATACACACTCAAATGCTTCCTTGTGTTTGGCTGAAGGATCCGTGACCAGCATTGATTACTCCGTTGTATGGAGGATTGACTATCAGCTTGCCGTCCCTTGAGACTCCTCTCAGACTTGGTTAATACCGAGGCTGTAATTTAGGGAGGCCTGGCGTCTTTCACGGGCGGCCTTACTGGGCTCACCGAGGCGGAAAGCCTCACATTTCCATCCCCTTAGGTCTGAAAGCCCTTTGTGAACCATATGTGCATTCATTCTTGTCGTTGCTTCCCTTTAAGAGTCCTCTAATATTGCAAAACAGTTGAGGTGCAGACTTAAGTAGTTGCTCTCTTCTCAACCACTGATCTTCACTTGGGTCTAGATGACCTCTGAATGCAACTCTGTACTGCGTCAACAGCTTAGCTGGTCCTCTCTTGCCCATTGGCTTTTGCACAGGTAAATACCTTGTGCTCCACGATACAGTCAATGTCAACATAACCGTCCATTGTTGATGGCAACATGGATCGCTGTGTGAAAAAGGCAAGAGTTCGGATACGTGAAACACAAGGTAAGTAGGAAGATGAGGACGGACATCAATTGCGTACGATGGGCCATTAGGATCATTCCCTACAGAAAAACAAAAAAAAAAGGAGGATCTCGTCGGTATCATGTCGTCTCAGTGCGCAAGGAAGATTTGGGGGGGGAAGAGGGGTGGGAGGAGAATGCAGCAAGTGATGACCAGGTATGTGCCGCGAGCATAGTCGTGGCGGGCAACGCCGGGCATCCACTTGTTTATTTTTCAAAGGAAGGGTGACGAGCTTAGGATATTGTCATCCAACTGACTGGCCCCAGGTAATTCTGAGTTCAGACTCTTCAGAGTTATAAGGGTTATTTTTGAATTGGCCGAGCGCTTCACTCTTGAGTAGGACTAACTTTCCCTTCAAGTTCTTGAGGTTTGCAAAAAAAAAAAAAAAGGATTATCCCCTACAGTATCTAGGGCAGTCCATGGTCCAACATACTAAGGCATTAATTTCCGTCATATGTCCTGTTCTGGTGTAAACTCAGATGTCTTAACCTACGCTCTATCCCTACTTGGAATGTCGACACCTGTCTATGCTGATTCAGTCATAGCCATTTGAGCTTTCTGTAGCTGCTCTACTGTTTTTTTCCAAATATCTGTTCGTACTCAAGAGCATCTCTCTACTTCCAGGGGCTGTTTGCTGTTTAGAGTCTGGAAACAAGAAATCCAAATAGAGCTCTCGGTTTCCATTCTAAATGCAGTTGATTAGGCGAGTGACCAGTTGCTGAGTGTATAGCTTTGTTATATTCGGGGTCTGCAATCTCTACGACAGGAGGATTAATGAGGATAGACTTCAAATTCCGTACTTCAATCCCAAAGGGTGTCGAGTCGAGTAGGATCAGTCAAGGGGCTTGCTATACTACTATAGTAGTCGAGTAGGATCAGTCAAGGGGCTAGCTATACTACTCTAGTTCCTTATGAACGATTAGTAATACCCAACCATCCCCAAGAAAAGATCTGATCTTTGTCGCAGATGAAGGTCGCGGCCAGTCTCTACTGTCCACCACCTTTGCATCCTCAGGCCTCAAATTTTCCATAGAGATGTCATTACCCGAGCATAAGACTCTAGCATGTTCAAACTTGCACTCTTCTCTATTGATCTTATCCTTGTGCTTAGTGGAGATCGAAAACTATTTCTAGATGCTTGGCATCGTCCTCCAATGTCTCACTAAAGATAAATATATCGTTGAGATAAACAACAGTAAACTTATCTAAGTAGTCAACGAAAACTCCATTCATGGCATACTGGAATGTACTGGCTGCCTTACAGAGCCCAAATGGCATTATCACAAAGTCGTATACCGCATATCTGGTCTGAAATGTAGTTTTGTGACCCTGGTCATATTATCGGGTCTTATCTTTATTTTTATTTTTGTTTTGCAAAAAACAGGCCCTTATGGCCCTGGCTCCATATCCACTCTGGGGAGCATCAGTTCGGTTCCTTTTTTTTTTTTCTTTTTTTTTTTTCTTTTTTTTAAACTAAACAGAACCTTACGGTTCTGGCTCCTTTTCCATTCTGGGGAGCATCAGTCCGGTTCCTATTCCACCGGCAAGTCAGAAATGATTACAAAAGGTANCCAGTGCGCCGCTTTTTTTTTTTTTTTTTTTTTGGCTCGTGCCGCCAGGCATTTGGTCCAGCAGCCCTGAGCCACCGAAGTTTTCCGAATGAGCTGATCTCCGTTCTCAAGTTTGCCTGGGCCATGTGCTGGTGGTTTACAGGTCCTTACGGTCCTGGCTACTTGTCCGTTCTGGGGATCTTCGGTCTGGTTCCTTTTCCTCCGGCAAGTTAAAACATATACAATGTATACACACTCAAATGCTTCCTTGTGTTTGGCTGAAGGATCCGTGACCAGCATTGATTACTCCGTTGTATGGAGGATTGACTATCAGCTTGCCGTCCCTTGAGACTCCTCTCAGACTTGGTTAATACCGAGGCTGTAATTTAGGGAGGCCTGGCGTCTTTCACGGGCGGCCTTACTGGGCTCACCGAGGCGGAAAGCCTCACATTTCCATCCCCTTAGGTCTGAAAGCCCTTTGTGAACCATATGTGCATTCATTCTTGTCGTTGCTTCCCTTTAAGAGTCCTCTAATATTGCAAAACAGTTGAGGTGCAGACTTAAGTAGTTGCTCTCTTCTCAACCACTGATCTTCACTTGGGTCTAGATGACCTCTGAATGCAACTCTGTACTGCGTCAACAGCTTAGCTGGTCCTCTCTTGCCCATTGGCTTTTGCACAGGTAAATACCTTGTGCTCCACGATACAGTCAATGTCAACATAACCGTCCATTGTTGATGGCAACATGGATCGCTGTGTGAAAAAGGCAAGAGTTCGGATACGTGAAACACAAGGTAAGTAGGAAGATGAGGACGGACATCAATTGCGTACGATGGGCCATTAGGATCATTCCCTACAGAAAAACAAAAAAAAAAGGAGGATCTCGTCGGTATCATGTCGTCTCAGTGCGCAAGGAAGATTTGGGGGGGGAAGAGGGGTGGGAGGAGAATGCAGCAAGTGATGACCAGGTATGTGCCGCGAGCATAGTCGTGGCGGGCAACGCCGGGCATCCACTTGTTTATTTTTCAAAGGAAGGGTGACGAGCTTAGGATATTGTCATCCAACTGACTGGCCCCAGGTAATTCTGAGTTCAGACTCTTCAGAGTTATAAGGGTTATTTTTGAATTGGCCGAGCGCTTCACTCTTGAGTAGGACTAACTTTCCCTTCAAGTTCTTGAGGTTTGCAAAAAAAAAAAAAAAGGATTATCCCCTACAGTATCTAGGGCAGTCCATGGTCCAACATACTAAGGCATTAATTTCCGTCATATGTCCTGTTCTGGTGTAAACTCAGATGTCTTAACCTACGCTCTATCCCTACTTGGAATGTCGACACCTGTCTATGCTGATTCAGTCATAGCCATTTGAGCTTTCTGTAGCTGCTCTACTGTTTTTTTCCAAATATCTGTTCGTACTCAAGAGCATCTCTCTACTTCCAGGGGCTGTTTGCTGTTTAGAGTCTGGAAACAAGAAATCCAAATAGAGCTCTCGGTTTCCATTCTAAATGCAGTTGATTAG